TGCAAATTCTATCCCTAAGTTCGAATTATCCATTCCCAGAGGCCCTCACTATTTCTATCTTGCATACAGCAAACGGAACGCGACTTTGCACTGAAAATGGCAAGGTGCCGGTACTGCACAACCCTTTATTTCGCTCACCAACCACGCCTTGTTGTTCCGGTCCTGATTTAACAACTATTTAGGGTGGCAAGGCTGTGGATGGCGCAGTCGTGATGCTGAGTAAAGTCGCGATAGAATGAAGCCTCAACAAAGTGAACAGACTGTATACAATGAACCGCAAAGGCAGTATCAAAGCGCCACCGTGCCGTTTTAGCCCAGATTTCGCACTTCGGCAGACATTCAGTAAACTGACCCTGGTGGCCTCAGTACAGTGAACTGAGCGGGCTTCCAATGTGCGCCACATTTTGGTTCACTCTATCGAGACTTTGCTCTGACTTTGCTCTGTACGGCGGGGACGGTCTGCCAAAGATATATGGACATGCGTCCAGTCTCTGGAGAGATGTGAGGAAGTTGGGGTGCTGCGTCTTTTTTTTTTTTTTTTGAGGTTGCCGTTTCTGGAGTATAAGAGCTGCCAGTGAAATCAAAACAAAAAAAAAATCTCCCAGGCTGTCGTGCTGTACTTTATTGATATGGATTCTTTCGCGTCCTGACTCTATAGAACTTGTCACGACAAGTCCTTATCACAACTTCGCATACCTCAACTATCACAACGTGCGCTGACAACGCAATCGTGACTGCAATGCATCCCAAAATCTTTGAACGTCCAACTGTCCTTCCCCAATAAGCAATCGAAGCGACTTTCTCCGTGGCCGCATTTTGGTACCGCAATTCAGCGTTGAGTGGGCTGTAACTGAGACAAGACCCGCATCTGTAACTATTGTAACCGAGTTTTTCTCTCTGATTCGACAAGCCTAGCTATGCTTCAATTTGGAAAGGGTGCATTCTGGTTGTTGATGCAAGAAAAAAAAGTCTTCCCTTACCTTGTTCAGTGAGGGTAGCAGAGTATGTAGGGCTGGTCAAGGGTACGCAACCTGCAGTCTAGAACGCACACCGGAACGCAATCGAACCAAAGCAATGACTCCAAATTGCGAAAAAATAAAATCCCCAGTTCACCCAACATATATAGTAACTGTCTAGTTGTAATCTGGGCGATCACCACAAGCAATCGGTCAGAAATAAGGCAGGAAAGTTGCAATAATCTGCTGGAGTGTAAGACCAGCCTAATTTGGACAGCATCAAGGGACACGCCCTTTACGCAGAATCTTGCCGTGAACGCATCAGCAGAAAACATTTTGGCAGTGTGTGTCCTGGCCTACACGTGTGGTACGCTCAAAGTCGTGGCATTGCTGATCGCATTACCAGGGAGACCAGCAGCGGTCTTGCTTGTCACGGGTCCCGCCGTTTAAGCAATTTCGACCACAAAGAGACGTGTGCATATTCAACCGAGGTGAAGCATTGCGAGTTGGTGTATTCTCGAGAACCTTAATATCTTGGAAGGTATGTAGGAAGTGGGACACAATTTTGTAATGGCCCCAAGCCCAAAGCACGCTTGCCTTGTTGCACCGTTGCGCTGTCCCATGCATTTTATTCCTCTTCCACACTGTAGTTCTGTCTTTTATTCGGAGATGTCCGATTTGTCGCAGTCATAAGGCTATGTCATAGACAGTCTTCGACATAGCCTTGTGACTGCGACAAAGCCTTCGATCTGCATGCCGCTCGGCAAGGCCTAATCGCAAGCCCGAAAGGCTGTTCCACTCATACACTAGAGAGAGAGCCAAATAACCTTTCATACAGTACAAGCCACAAAACACTGGGCCTGTTTGAAAAAGCTGCCGAGGTGTCAGAGGACCACACAGGGAGTCCACAGATTCGTTTCGTCTCCGCTAGTGTCTAGGTGACAAATGGCCTCATATGAGGTCACTTTTCAACTTAATTTTTCTCGACTTATGCTAGCTGAACAAAATGGAAAAAGATACTCTCGCCACCGCAGTTGACTTCTGCGCTGTGGAAGGGTGGAGCTTGGTGAGATCTGCACGTCCTTTCCAGGCTTTTTGAGAATACCTAAAGAAGAAGCTTTTTTTAAAGAACATCAAAACGTTTTTTGTTGATATCTTCGAAACCAAAACGCCTGTTTAAAATATCATCCGATTGTTGAAACTATATTAGATTCTTAGTATTTCTGTGTATTCATAACTGCTATCCCGATGTTTTGCAGGAAGCGATTGCCGAGGGAATATTGGTTAAAGAAATGGTGTCTAAACTGATTTTATAAAATTTCGATTTAATGTATACTTTTTTGCAAAAAAAACCCGGCCTCATATGAGGCCAAGCCTGACCTCATATGAGGCAAATTGCCGGTCGTCTAGACACTAGACGCGGTGGTCTTTTGCACTGAAACCTTCTCGTGATTAGTGGGAAGGATATAATGATTTGCTGGAGCAAGCATCACGTATAGGAGGGCAGGGGAGGGGGGAGGGGGGCGGGGGGGGGGGCACGTTATAAGGCGAGCCCAGGCCGAATCTGTCCACGTCGCCCTATATCAAGTCCTACCTGGCCTGAAAGGTGATATTGCACCGAGAGGCAAGTTTGATACTAACATTTGAGAAGCAAATGCGTCGGACATGTAAAGTTTAAATTTAAACCGCCTACTACTGGAACAACTCAGTTATCCGGAGATGGCGGAAGCAAGCTCCTTCGCGTCGCGTTTTCGCGAGAAGAATAGCTCTTTTCGCAAGCCCTGAGTGTCGACTTGCAGAGGGTATCTTGTAGGCGTAGCGATGTCTTCGAGTCCCCTGAGCATTTTCGTTACCGCCGAGGACAGCATGAGGGCAGGCCTGTTGGGATTTGGCCGGCTGTCTCGAAATTGTCGTCGGGCTATAGGTGCGAACGCGTTTGTTTCTTTAAGATCGCGGATGAATTCATACTGCTGATGTCTACTCTTACCAAACAGCCCTAGCAGTGTTCCTCGCCATACACGTCTTCAAAGTCGTTCGTTCGCCTTATATCAAGTCTAGATTCAACCATTGCAGCCTTATAATACCAGGTGACGGTACCAAGATTAGGTTGCGAGTTAACACATTCAAATCTGCTCGGCGACAGCGTGCCTCGTGTGCCCATACATGTAAGGTTGCTGCTTGTGGCAACAATGTAGTTTCTACGCCCAGGGCATATGTGCCCGTTGCAGATCTGGCACACGCCCATCAGTTTCCTAACCCGTTTCCAAAGCCCACTGAGTCGTCCCTTCCCTACATTCAGCCGAGACGAAGGTGTTTTCATTAATAAGGGCCTTTACTACGCTGCAACGGAAAACGTGGGGAATGCGGCCGGGCTCCCATCCTGGATTTCCATTGTTGCCGTGCTCTGTCCACTTCGAACTCGAGCCGGCTCTTGTTACTAACAATATAGATAGATTGGTTTGTGTATGATGTGCGCTTTGCGAGGGGGTGTCCATAACAGCGTCGCAGGGAAGTGTCCATGACAGAGTCGCAGGGAGCTATAAAGCTTTACTATAACATCCGAGTGCAAACCTGGGGTTCTTGATGGAAAGCGCATATTCTATGGTCATTCCCGACCCCTTGATTGGCTAGTAGATAGATTGGTTTGTGTATGATGTGCGCTTTGCGAGGGGGTGTCCATAACAGCGTCGCAGGGAAGTGTCCATGACAGAGTCGCAGGGAGCTATAAAGCTTTACTATAACATCCGAGTGCAAACAGTAAAGGCGTTAGTACTGTCATGACGTCTTCAATCTCGCGACAACAGCTGGTAGATGTGGATGGTAAGGCATTGGCACCGGTATTCCTTATTTCGCCGCGAGTTAGGAGAGAACGAACTATCGGTTCATGCAAACACTGACCAGCGCCATGCAATGATACTTGAAATCTTGATACTGAGGGACTCATCTGCCAATAACGGGCTTTGTGGTATTGTCTGTTCAATCGTTTTTCGGCAGCCTATGACTTGGTTTGGTCCTCTGCTGACGTTGCCCGTGGTGAATGGAGCGACAATAGTGCTCCACTACTGTTTTCCTGGCAGCTTGATGCTGCCCACCAGATTTATTTTTCTTGGCGTTGCCCTCTACACGATACTCTTCTGATGGCTGTGATGCTCTATGGAGCAATTGCGTTACATCCATCCCCTACTGAGGTATCTTCCAAATCCCCCTTTGTGATAACTCATTCACCCAGTCCTATTTCAAGTTTTCTCATATCATTTTCTTCTCGCTGGCCTGTCGTAATCGAGGTCATGTACTGTGCACAAATTGGTAGCGATAGGGGACAAAACTTGAAGAGTTACATCGATTCGCCCTCTTTGTTTTTTCTCTAAAGAGTTGCCGGTGAACGGTAGATCCCGTATCTTTCTTGGGAAATAACATCCCCAACCAACAACTGCAAGAAGTATCATAATACAGAGATCTCCAATGACGATATTTCGCTCCCTATCACATCATACTTCTCATGTTGAAGACACCGCGAATTTGAGCATTCGCTGCTTTCGAGCTGACTGGGACGGTTGAATAAGATTGTTTTCTAGCTCTTCTATCTCTATGCGGGTTTTCATTCAGCCACCGGCAAGTATTCAGAGTAATCATTGGATAGTTTGATAGAGGCGACATCAGCCGTACTCAATAGCTCATTCAGGCGCACGCATTATGGAAAATCTCATTTAAATGCGCTATTTCTTTTATCCCTCGACTATATTCTTTTTTTGTTGACATCCATAATGTCTTATCCTTGTTTGAGCTTATTCGTTTCCCTGGGACCCAAATCAAGTACGCGAATTTGTCTTTGCAATCGAATCGTGGAAAGTCTCGTTCGGAGGGGAGCTTCCAATATTGGACAACCGCAGAAACGATTTCATTCCCAGAGTGCGAGCTTTTATGAACGCATGCACTTCTATGTGAAAAGAGTGGCTGTAAACAAGTAAGGGGAAATAACGAAAAGGTTCAGCTGTACCAGCAAATCATAATAGTGAAGTATACAGTGAAGCATGTAGAAACGGTATGCATCCTTCTATCATATGCGCGACAACTCTTGTGCAAGATCTTACATCTCGGAGAGTCCTTTTCGTCTGTTACGTTCAGATAAGTTCTCTCCAACACAATTCATTTCTCTGCCAATCAACAAAAGGTTTCGCAAGGATGCGTCCCTTATTCAACTGCAATCTTGAGTTCAACATTGCCAAGAAGCAAACGTTGAAGCAGCCTTGCGTATGGTCATATTTTGTTATCGTGGGATGCAAGCCTAACCTTTGCGGCAGTTTTGTGTTGATAAGGATGATCTGTGGTCAAACTCGTGACTGCCACCCGAAGCTGTTGAACACTCTTGAAGATTTTGGCGATTTAGGATGCTATAAAAGAAGCAGTTCCAGTCCTCATCAAGCTCAGCCACCCCATCTCATCAGCTTCCTCTCCAACTGAAGCAAGAATCAGAAGCAAGAATCAAACAGACGTCCAGCAAGCTCGTATCTCACATTTGCCCTTGCTACCATGATTCGTACAGGAACATTTTTACTTTTGGCCCTTCTGGCCCTGTTCGCAGTCGCTTTCGCCGTAGACGTTCCCGTGGAAGGCGATCTCACCGAGCAGAATGACATTGAAGAAGACATGGATGTGGCGGAACGTTCTTATTATCGATACTGCCCTAAAAAATGCTACAAGTCCTACCACGCTGCCTATAAGCGCTGCTACAAGTACCCGTACTGCAAGGTTACATATGGTTGCAAGTACTCTTACCACTACCACAAGTATGCTAAGGGATACTACTGCAAGTACTACTATTCAGGTGGCTATTACCCCAAGAAGCCGCATTACTAGAGGGGTTTCTTTTCTGGTAGTGATCTTCTTCTTAGGCTATCTGTCCGTTGTCAGCGGTGGTTGAAGCTCAAGTTGAGAAGTGTCCCGTTAGAAGTGAGAATCCCCTTTCTGAAGCGTGGACGCTTGGAGAATAGCTATGAAGAGTGTACTCGCTTCTGGTGAGTTTGATCTTTGAGATCGAGCGTCGCTGTTGTCTGCAATAAAAAAAAGTTGCTAAAATCTCTGATTGCCTGCGGCTCATCTGTGTGTCCATTTATCTTCGGGTGGACAAACACCAGATATAATTTTATGTACAGTGTGAAAAGGGATTATGCAATGGCTTTGGTGCAAGCACGATCGGGTCGGTTAATTTGGGGGAAGTTACGCGGGGGTCTTGAGGGATGTAGACAGTTACACTGCCACAAATCGACACCAGTGACTTGCGCACGACAGAAGGCGAAACGCAAGTCACTGACAGGAGAAAAAGATAAATTCACCGACACAAGCCGAGACACAAACCGACAGGAAACGAAGCGAAACACTGGCAGCAGCGAAATCCGCTTCGAGCAACCAAAGCCTTCAGACTATAAGTAGCTAACTTGTAGGAGTAGAACGAGATATAGGGCCGAACTCAGAAGTAAACTCTCCTCTCAACACCAGTGGCCGACCACCCGAGTTCGACCACTACCCGGACGCTGTCTGTACCTCCGCACCCCTACCTTTCAGGGTACAGTTGTCTCCAGGGACCAGAGCAATTGCGAGATGACGATATGATGTGTTACACACTCCCATCGTACGATTACACCGCAATGAGAGACCACAGCCCCATGTCGTGGACCTCTTGCCGTGTATTACACGGCAGCATTGACAACTCGACGCCAAGGCCTAGACCTATCCGAAGAGTGTACTATACGGTGGTGCGGAGGTAATATATACTGTAACAGTTCTTTCTGAGAAACGAAACGCAAAGCGCAACTACGTTTGCAAGACAACTTGACATATTTCACGGATAAGCAACCGTCTACACATTTGAGAGGTTCGGCCTTTACCAAGTGATAGGGCCGCAGATTCTTCTAGAGCGGAATGACTCTACATCTCATGTTAGTGGTAATTGCACAACTTTTGGCGAGTAGCACACACCAGGCTGCTTTCGGTGCTTGCTACAGAAGCTCTCCCGGCAAGAAAGATACATCACTTGCACGACAGGGTCGGTCACAGTCCGGGACGTCTGTGAAGCAAGATTTCTAAGAACCAGTACCGCACACAGTTGCATGGCAGTAGAGGCGTCTCTGTCTGGAAGGCAAGAGTTGGGGGATTGCAATTAAGTTTCATAATAGCCACTGGACTACAGTGCTCAACCCTGCATCAATTACCCCATCTCCGTGATCTATTCGCAAACCTGTTAATCTAGCCGCTGACAGGGCGGAGAGAGCCACAGAGCGATCCTCTCGCGTAGGAAAAATTTTCCCCCGAATTTCAAAAATGTCCTACGTTTGTCTCTCACGACAAACAGCACCCAAATTCTCCAGTCACCAGATACAGTGCCCCGCAACGATCTTGACCCGGTCCTCCTCACACCCAACATCACGTGTGATCCCTCTTTGTACATCCCACACTCGCTCGGCCCTGTTTATGCCTTAACCAAAGATGTCACATGTCATCCGTCCGCTCCCATCGCAACGCTACCTACACGTCTCTTGGCGTATCACGTCATTGCGCCAGCCGACTTATGCTCTGGTCTCCACATGCGGCCACATGCCATACTCATACGTTATTGCCACCCGTTCCAATGCCTGACGATTTTCGTCTCCATTCATAGCAACGCTGCGCACTCCATGGGTGTGTGCGCACAATGCGTTATCGATTAATGCTTCCGTCTCGCACTCGAACGCTCTTGTCACGTGATCTAGACGCCGCGCAACTTTTGTCCAGATAAATGCGCTTTAGCGCAATGCTACCCACCCCCGACTCATGGCCATGGAGACACCTCCAAATTCCTCTCCCTACTCGAAAGCGTTACCGGCTCATCACCATATTTTACAGGCGCATGGCTGTTCCCCTCACAGCCAGACTGCTCCTTGCCCTCGTGAAATGGGGCTTTTCTCTACACACTTCGGATGTTAGTTCGAATACATGATTCAATACATGCCTCCAAACTTTACGCTTTTTTCCTACAGTTCTAGCAAGGTTTCCTGAACCCCGACCCCTCATTCAAAGCAGCCCTACAACCGAGCAATTCTCGTCCCTGCCTGGAGATTGCGTAAAACTGTACTGGTCTGCCCTTCACTCATTCAACTGGTGCCAGTTGCCAGCATCCACACACTACTGTACTGTACTCTCTTTGAGGTCTATGCGTGACCTCCAAATTCAAGGAGAGGTGGTAGTCTCGTACTGAGACTGGTTGAGGTTGCTCTCGCAAGGCATGTCCCGCGCCGGGAAATATGAGCTCCATGTTGCGCTGGGGAGGCGTGAGCCGCTGCACTGCAAGAATACAAAGTCCAACGTTAAAGATACTGTACGGCTATACGGTACCTGAAAATTTTTGTAACTTACTTTATCAGCACTTTTGCCGTATTGCATCAGTGTTTTCGAAAAGGGGCAAGAGATCAATTATCACTCTCTATCCTTCGGGTACCCTTCGAAGGGTAGTAGTGTCAATCCGACCAAGCGTTATCATGCCATAAAAATCTTGGAATTTGATTTCTTTTCAACTGTGATGTCCACGGTTCCTATTTTTGCTTTGGTAGATGACTCGTCTTAAATTTTTTCTAAAGTTAGAACCGACTAGAAACCCTCCAAGGCATTGTTTCTACAGTATGCTACGGTATAAACTTAGCGTAAAGAAAAATGCCGACTGTATGCCGACTATCCCTTTTGAACAGCTTTTTGGGCGTCAGCGAGTTGGTTTCCGCTTGAATTGACGAGTAGGTGCTTTACATGCAGTGATTGGCTTCTGGTTTCAAAAAAAGAAGGGAAATCGCGAGTTTGGTTGTCGAGAAAAATTAAAACATCTCTTGTCCTCATATGAGGACTAACGGTCCGATAGACACTACAGACTACACCTAGTGAAAGCCAACACATTGTGTTCAGGGCTTTCTATCCGCAGCATCCGTATAAGCAAGAATCCGAAATTTCGTGATGTCTTGCTAATCATTTTCGTTCTCGACCTAAACTTCGGTCACTATCTGTACGTTCCGCACTTGCGTGCTCTTGTCGTTCGACCGAAAAACCGCACGGTTTTGTCTTTCCTTGCATTTCTGCTCTCTGTCCCGGTTCTCAGTCAATGCAAGCTAACCTTCTTCTGGGCCGCAAACTTCCGTCAACTTCTTTCACCACATCATTGCCCCCTCCTCCTTGTGCGTCTCCTGTACCGCGTGAGATCATGCATGCTGTGACAAATCACAGGACCCAGAGGCAATCTTTCCTTAGTCGAACCCGGTCGCTCGCGGCGCTCGGCGTAGGGGAACGATGTATAAAGGCAACAGCAAGAGAAGTCAATGTGTGCGTCTCCCCGGGGTCCCCGGATCCCAACGCAGCGTGCTCTGCCTTTATTTTTGAAACCCAAACGGGTGCAGCAATCCGCACTCTCCGCCCGGTGCCGTCCCTGTCAGGCGATGACAGTTGCGCTGCGCCCTACACGCCTCCTGATCAGGCAGACCAGGACCACTGCTGTGCTGCAGCGGGGCTTTTCGCTCGGTGGTAGGTCCATGACGTACTTACAGTACTCAGAGGGGGTACGGGTGCGCATTGACGTTAGCCCGTACAAAGGCTACGCACCCAGTATCGCAGTGTTAGTGGTGGCTGTCCACTCACCTCTGCGGCAGGCTCGCACTACAGGGATCAACCCTGCTATGCCCCGAGGCATCGTGCCGTAGATATCTCGATCCCTACCTATCCTTACGAGCGCAGGGCGTTACCATGCGTAACCCAGCAGTGTCCTTTTCGCAATGCACATTCTTCTGTCAATGCAAACCTATCCTTTTACTTTGCGTAACTCTCCGTTGACCCTCCGTCGACCGCTTGGCAATCTCCTACCAAAAACATAGGCCTCTGGTTCCGTATCTTCCTAACGCATAGACTCCAATGTTCCTTTCGAAGCGAACACAAACGCCGTTCTCGCTAACGCTCTCCACATTGGACTTCAGAACATCTAGAGTTACATGCACTGTGGAACCCAGAGACGAGTACCCACACACTGGCATTTCTCCGCAAATTGATTTTCGGCTCCTCATCATGCGCGAAAGTACGCTTCCTAGGCACGACACTTCTCCTTCCACGAAAAGAAAACAAATTCCTCGTTGCGACCACGACTGTGCAGACTGACATCACAGAGCTGAAAGACAATCAAAAAAACCGAACTTCGTTGCAGCACATGGGGTCGCTCCAACGTGAAATCGAGAGGCTCGCTAGCTTCACAGTGCTCATTGAGCAGCAAAAAGACCTGACAAACCCAACCGACGTGCATGGGCACCAAGCCCTACGGACACCTTGGTTAATACCCTGCTAACCATAATCTTCCGGGCGTAGGCATCCTGCAGTGCTGCAGCTCCTACGTGCGCACCGGGCGATGCTGATATGAAGCTGGAAAGCGTTCCGAATTCACTGGAGCGATCGAGTGTCCTGCGACGACTTTCCGTGAATTTGCTGGCCTTTTAGCACAATGATACCTGCATGCAGAGTGGTGTTCGCAGCGAGCAATTGGTTTGCCAGCGTTTTCTTTTCATCATAGGGCCTTTTTCGCTCAGTGCGACATGCCGTGACACTGGTGGCTTACGAAGTCGGGCCTGTGAGCCCTAAGATAGCGAGTGAATCAGGCATACTGCTCGAAAGCAGCATGGCCTGCTCAAAAATGGAAGGCGACGATGAAAAGTGGGGCTCGCCATGTACAAATACGAGGGCCAGTCGACCTACTTACTCTTGTGCCTATTGGATCGTTGTCCTCATATGAGCCCCGTTCTTTACCCTTTCTTCTAAACATGTCACGTGTCTTGTCGCCAAGAAATGCATTCATTCAATCTCTCTTCCCCTAGTCACCGTGCTCAGATGGACGACCACGATGCTTCAATATGGTTACGGCTGACAGTTCTCGCTTCTAAGCACGTCCATTTCAATACGAATTTTTCATCTGAGGGGATATTCCACGCTCAGTCTTGCACCTTCCATGGTTGACGCTCTTCAACTTGACTTTAATCGCCATGACACAGTTACCACAGTATACAGCATTCACTGAATGTCCAAACATATTCTGTACTGCTGCTTTTCGAACGCACTCCATCGCTCCCCGCAACTTCAACAAATGTCCCATTCTTTCGACAACTTGTACGCTTCTCGTGCCTCTTTTAGGAATATGTATTCCATACTCATCCCACGAGCTGAAATATAAGTTGACCGACTCCCCTCACTCAATGTTTCCTTCTTCAATGCCGAAAAATGGGTGTGAGATGGCCCCAAACTACCAGTCGAGGAGTAACATGTTTTTGCTTTTTACCGTTATATTCTTTGAATCCTATGTTTCGTCTTGCAAAGTCACCATGCACCATGCACATGGGCAGACTGTATCTATCTCGCTGTTTCGCCATGTCCAGTAACGTTAGTATCAGTTGGACGAGGTAGGGCATTACAGCTCCTTACCCTCTCGCAAATACGCATCGACAAATAATGCTGATGAACAAGGGGGGCGCTTTTTACATTTTATCGGAACATTATGGGTTGCCGAGCGGTACGCACAGCATGGGCTTTTCTGCGGAGGTCGTGAAAAACGACGAATTCGTCCCTTGTGAACTTGTGTGACGTCGTGGAGGCGACGTTTTGTGTACTGGATTTTATCCTCCGCAAGGTTGGGAGCGAGATGTTTCGCAATGTCGAGCTGTCGGAAGTGCGCCCCAAGTCTGAGACCACGCGAGGGCACAACGTGTGTGCGGTAGACCATGACGGGACGGGCTGGTGGACATCAAGTTTAGCCAAGGGATTTGTAACGAGTTTTTTGAGGGGGTGACCGGTTGTTGAGGAACGAAATGGAGCTTTGACGACAAGACACAAGACCTGTTTATGAGAAAGGGGAATGAACCGGGCTGGTGTACATAAGAGGGGAAGCAGCGTGGGTCGTGTGCGTCGACTAACGCGCCAGTGTTGCTGCGTGACTTCATACAACACTTTCGAAGCAGCCATGGCGCAAGAGTCCCAGTGGTTCGTGTCCCGTGTCCCCCAGTTACGCCCGACTCAGCTTGACTCCCTCCCGCACCAGTTTCCCGAGAAGCTCCACCACTTCGTCTTCATTGCGCCCCTCCATGGCGTCCTCGAACAGCCTCGAGGCCCGCGTGGCATCCCTCGCAACCCGTTCCCCCCGTCCCTCAGCAGGACTGCCATGCTCAACATAGCGTCCCGATCTTGCTGCGTCTCGATCGCGCGCTCGTACAACCGCGCCGCGCGACCCGCGTTGCTCCGCACCCTGTCCGTGCCTCGCACTAGCATGTCGCCGAGCGCCACCATCGCCTCGACATCACCGTGCTCTTCAACCGCCCGCTCAAATAACTTCACAGCCCGCGCCGCGTCCCGCCGCACCCCGTCCCCTCCGTCCCGCAATAGGCTCCCCAGGTAGCGCATAGCTCCGACATTCTGCCCTTTTTCGATGGCCAGCTCGTACAATTCTATAGCCCGAACCATGTCCGTATCCACCCCTCCCGGGCCATTGGATAATAGCCAGCCTAAACCCACCATCGACCCGACATCATCGTGCACTTCAATCGCTCGCTGAAACAACTTTGCAGCCCGAGTTACATCCTGCACAACCTCGTCCCCTCCATTCATCATGAGCACTGCCAGGTTTTGCATAGCTTTACCGTCATCGCCTCTCTCGATCGCACGCTTGTAGAGCTCCACAGCACGATCCACATTTCTCTCCACTCCCTCCGCCCCGTTCTCCAGCAGGATACCCAGGTCGACCATCGCCCCGATATGATCGTGCTCCTCAATCGCCCGCTCAAACAGCTTCGCAGCCCGAGCCACATCCTGCACAACCTCATCCCCTCCATCCTTCATCAGGAGTGCGAGATTGCGCATAGCGGTGCCATCATCGCCTTTCCCGATCGCACGCTCGTAGAGCTCCACAGCACGACCCACATTTCTCTCCACTCCCTCCGCCCCGTTCTTCAGCAGGACTCCGAGGTTGACCATCGCATCGACATCATCGTGCTCGTTGATTAAGTCCTCGTACAGCTCCACAGCCCTCGCTGAATTCCGTGCAACTCCGTCCCCTCCCTCACTCAATACAACTGCTAGTTGGAACTTTGCGTAGGGATCTTGACATTTCTCAATCGCGCGCTTGTACAGCTCGACAGCCCGAAGCACGTTCTTCTCCACTCCCTCCGCCCCGTTCTTCAGCAGGACTCCGAGGTTGTTCATCGAATTGACATGGCCGTGCTCGTTGATTAAGTCCTCGTACAGCTCCACAGCCCTCGCTGAATTCCGTGCCACTCCGTCCCCTCCTTCATGCATCAGGAGTGCAAGATTGTGCATAGCGTCGCGGTCATTGCCTTTCTCGATCGCACGCTCGTAGAGCTCTACAGCACGACCCACATTTCTCTCCACTCCCTCCGCCCCGTTCTCCAGCAGGATACCCAGGTTGACCATCGCATCGACATTATCGTGCTCTTCGACTAAGTCCTCATACAGCTGCACAGCCCCCGCTGAATTCTGTGCAACCCCGCCCCCTCCCTCACTTAATACAAATGCTAAGTTGCACCTAGCGCGGCAATCTTGACATTTCTCAATCGCGCGCTTGTACAGCTCGACAGCCCGAAGGACGTTCTTCTCGACTCCCTCCGCGCCGTCATTCAGCAGGACTCCGAGAGCGACCATCGCGCGGACGCTTTCATTTTTGTCGATCGCCTTTTCATATAACTCGCCAGCGCGTACTGCGTCCGTCTGGATTCCCTCCGCTCCATCTACGAGCAGGTTGCCCAGTTTGACCATGGCGTCGGAATCATGGTGCTCCTCAATCGCGCGTTCATACAACCCCATGGCGCGCTCTGCGTTGATCCCGACGCCTTCTGCGCCTTCTGCTAATAGGTTGCCGAGGCCCACCATCGCCCCGACATGATCGTGCTCCTCAATCGCGCTCGTACAGCTTCACAGCTTCCGTTGCATCCTTCTCAACTTGGTCGCCTCCGTCCCTCATTTCGTTGGCTAGCTTGAACATGGCGTCACCGCCACTATCTTGCTCACGACCCGCGGGTCGGTTCAGCCCGACGGCTCTCATGGAGTTGTCTTCTGCGCTCTGCGGCGCTTCTGCTCGCAACTTGGTCATTGCTCCAGCAGACTTACGAACGGCACCGCCCTGATGAGCAAAAGCAGCCCCCAGCGCTGAACACCGGTTTAGGACTGGAGGCGTGTGAGTGGAGAAATTAGCAAAAGATTACAAAATTTTAGATGTGCTAGATTTTATGATTTTTTAGATTGATGGTGGGCGTTTCTGGAAGCGCGCGCTGTGAGAAATAAAAAGGTGCTGGAGGCTGCCTCGCAGGCGGCCGGGGGGGGACAGCACACAACTCCCCGGTCCCTACCCAACATGTGGTGTACGATATTACCCCTGGGGTAATTTACGCCTGGCGGAATTCCGCAACTATTCTGGAAAGGTACTGTAAAGAAAGAAGTATGATACATTGCAGAATTCTGCAACGTTTTGGTTCATAGATTTTTAATTTGAGTTAATTTAATTTACGCTACCACTCCAATACTGTAAGAGCATCCCCACCGGTCGGAGAATAAATGAGCAAAGAGCTAAATATTTTCAACACTTGTCATTCAAATACTGGTGCGCATGCCCAGGTGCATTTGTTCACATTTGGCATTTTAGCTCCGACATCAACACACTCCACCGGTGTTGCCAGAGCTAAATGCAGAAACGCACTCAAATGGAGCAGTCTTCATTGGAGGAACAGTTAAATCCTCTGGATTTCGGCTGGTCTGCACCGGCCATTATTGTGATGGGAACGAGGCTCGAGATGGAATAGGCAATGATTGGGTGGGTTGGTGGGAGCATGTTCTGCACCTGGGAGAGCGGTGTGCGAAAGGGAGCGCATAAACAGGGTGGTGGTTGGGCAAGATCGCATGTACCTTGCGATCGATGCAGAAGGAGAGGCGCAGGTTGGAGGGGGAGGCGCGGCAATACGCGAGCGACGCGAGCGAAACATGTAGGAGAACGGGAAGTACTAAACGAGCAGATTCCCGCCACCAGAAAACCAATAACTGCTTCGCACTTGTGTCATGGACTTTTTGGCTCTGGGCTATTTTCGAGGTGTGAAACCGACCGATTTGCACCCTGGAAATACCCCCGGGCTAAATAATTTTAGCTTTTGACTCCCCGGTGGAGCGGATTCACCAGGTGTAAAAGCTAAAATTTTACCTTTTAACTCTTTGCTCATGCCGGTGGGGATGCTCTAACCCGGGAGTATTACGAGTTTGTGTGAAGGGGATTTAGGGGTGGCAGGGCAAAGCGCAAGCGGAAGACAGTGTAAACGGCAGACGAAGTCGCAAGCAAAGCGGGATAAACTGTACGAGGGCGACTGCTCTGCCGGAAACTGTTGTAAACTCTGCCACCTTTCAAAAACTGTAGGGCCTAAACATGAAGGCCTGACCACTGTGTTTTCCCAACCGTCCACCCCCCTCCACCGTCTGAAGCGCGGCGCGGACGGGCGGGCCGGCGGGAGTGCCGTGGGGATGTGAGACAAGGGATTAGGGATATGGGGGATGGGGGATGGGAGGATGTGAGTTAGTTGAATAGAAGGGTAGGGGGTAAAGGAGGGGGGTGGGGAATCGGCCGATGATGGCCAAGAGTCTCTGGTGCCCATGTTTGTGCCATACACTTCGAGCAGCAGCAGCAGCCGATGAAAGGCGGCGAAGCGAGGGTAGTGAGCAGAGAACTTATGGTGTGCGGGGGCGTGCCGGCGGACGAGGACGAGGGCGTCAGCCGGGGGTCTGTGGCGGAGGCCGCGCTCGAGGCGGCGCAGCAGGGCGTAGAATCGTCGTTGGGGGCGGCGATGGGGTGTCACAGGTGCATGACGCACATGGCGTCGTCCAGCGGGAGGCCGTCCGTGATCATAACGCAAGCGAGGGCGGCAGTGACGCTGCGCAAGATGCCCTGGGTGCAGGGGATGACAGCGGCGGTGCCGGTGCGGCGGGCGCGGTCGACGAAGGCCAGGATGGGGCGGGAAGCAGGCGGACAGGGCCAGGGCGGCCGAGGCGTGGATGCTACCGCCTTCTAACTCACCCTTAAGAGCCGCGGACGCCCGCACCATCTTCGCACTCTCAACTGTGCGTTGATCGACGTGCACAATCCCCTCGGCTCTTTGCCCCCTTTTACGAGCAGGTCGTGAGCACAAAAGGCAAAAGCGCACAAGACTGCTGAGAGACAGCGATGTCCTTTCAATTGTCGAGTGGGACGCTGCGCCGGGCGAGGGCGGCGGGGAGGGCTCTGATGGTGGGACACGGGCTGGGCCGGCGGCGGCGGGTCAGGCGGGCAAAGGCGAAGGGGCAGTGGCGTGCGTGAATAAGGCGGCGACGGCGGGAAAAGCGGCGCGCGTGGCGGTGCGGAGGGCGAGCGCGGCGCGGAACCGGCCGAGCGCGAGGCAGAACCGCGAGAGGAGAAAGTTGCGGGAGGCGCGGAAGACAACGTGGATGCGAGGGGTGGAGCGCGAGAACGAGCGGCTGGTGCGGCGGACGAGGGCGCTCGCGGAGAGGGTGCAGGTGCAGGTGCTGGTGGGGGTGGCGAGGCGGCGCGGGAGGCGGACGGGGGGCGGAGATGTGAGAGAGAGAGTACGTAGCGGGAACAAGGGCGTGGCGGAATGTTACTTGCACCCCTTATGAATTACAGCAACAGCGAGGATACAGTGAGGGTACAGGGAGGAATCCTCCCTGTACCCTCACTGCCGGAGGATTGTTTTCTGCGGAAACGTGTGACACGTGTTCCAGCAGAGTTGCAGCTGCCACTGTTGAAACAAGAAACTCACAAAACCTCTTTTCTTCGTCGTCTCTACTCTCGCTCCTACTTATCCGTCTCGCTGCTGGCTGTAATCGGACAGCCTATCGTGCTCGGTGTGTTACTGGGGGCCGCTTGTATTACCTGTGCCGGTCAGGACACTTTCCCTTTTGCCCAGTGCTTATCTCTCACATGGTAACCGATGCCCCTTGCAGAGACTGTTCTTCATTGGATCGAGTGACGACGCCGACGTTCCATAAAGGGAGAGGGAAGGACGTTGTCGGATGGCAGAAACTTGGCAGGCCGCTGCTTGGCACGAAGGAGGGGCACGAAGGAGGAGGGGAACGGCAGCGAAACAACGTCTCGAGATAAACCAATTCTCAATGCCGTCACAACTCTCGATCGGGGCCGCTCTGCAACTTCTTACTTCGTATGTCACATTGCCATACCGAACTGTGCCTTTCGCAACGCGCTTGCGCTCTTCTTTTCGCAAGACATCCATGTGCGCCCCTTGCAATGCTCGATGTGCTTTTCACCTAACACGCGCTCCTATTCCCTGCCATAGCTCCCAACCAACATCTTTCCTCTCTCCGTTCTCCCGACGCCTTTCTCTCCTCGCAAACCCCATTCGCGGTCTTACAACGGCGTCTTATTCGGCTCCCCTGACAACCTCGGAAACGCCCGTGGCGTTGCCTCCACTTTTCTTACGGCCACAATACACTTGTTCCTTCCGTCAACCTCTTCCGCCTGTTCCCCCTGCCCCTGCATCCACTCCCACGGCCACGCCTCGCGCACACCTTCCAACTTCCCGCCCAGCCTTCTGATGGCCTCTTTCGCGGCGGCCATCTCCTCAGAGCCCGCGCCCACGCTCTTCTGCGCGAATAACGCGCCCCCCACCTTTGCCAGCGGCACGCACAGTTCGCAGCAACGCGCGTTTCAGCCAACGACCGTGCCACGACCGCGTCATACCGCCCCCGATGCATCTTACTCTGCCACCCTCCTCTGCCCTCCCCCACACCGACGTGACGTTGCGCAGGGCCAGCTCGCGCTCCACGATGTCGTGGAAGCGCGTCTTCTTACGCGCGGCCTCGAGCAGCGTGACGTCCCACTGCGGCCTCGCGATGGCCAGGACGACTCCGGGAACCCCGCGCCCGCGCCGACATCAACGACGCGCAGCCCGGCGGCAGCGGCCGCGGCCTCCGCGTCCAGCGCCGGTAGCAGGCTCAGCGCGTCCGCAACGTGCTTAAGCACCACGGCATCGCGCGTGCGGATCGCCGCAAGGTTGTACCGCTTGCTCTCGCTCAGCAGCAGATCCGTGAGCCGCACGAGCCGCACGAGCTTGTTGAGCCGCGCCACGTCCAGGCCCGGCGAGTGGGCGGCGCGTCGCAGCACTGCGTGCGCGCGGGCGATGTTCTGCTGCGTCGCGCAGCGCCACGCGCAGCAGCGGCCGCGCCCCGGTATGCGGATCGCAGCACGTGACTCGCGCGCCCTGTCGGCGGCGAGACGGCGATGGCGATGCGGCAGGCGGTGAGCCACGGAGTCATGCAGACGGAGCTGTTGGAGGCCGACTGAGGGGTGGGCTAAACTGTGCGACCGATGGATTCGGGTAAGGGGGTAAGGAAAGTCGGCTACTCTGCCTTTAATGGAAACAGAGTGTCGCTAGCGTACAAATGGGTGTTTTCGATTAACAACGAGTCGACGTTCGAGACTGGTGTCGGAGACTCGCCCGCAACTCTGCCGTCCCGCTCCGTCCTCCTTTTCCCCTGTCTTCCTCCCCAGCTGAAGGAGAAGGCCATCGAGGCGATGATGAACGCACTACTGTACACGTGTTACTGTTGTCATATACATTAATAATATCCAAAAATATGCACTACAGTGATTCCTTGATAAAAGAAAGAGAAGAAATTCTCCAATAAGGAATTTCCTCGCATTAAGAAACTTCGAGGAATCCACAACCACAGAACCCCTCTGAACTGTGTTCCGTAAATCACTGGTCAAAATACAAGGCATGGGCCCTTTGAGCGACGCAAGCGCAGTTTCAGAGGACCTGTTGATGTCAGCTTGGATGTACAGGTGTAGATGATTGGGTGCATCCAGGAATACACTAGAGTTCCAGATGCCCAGATCCTTGCGCTGTAATACAGCGCTAATACAGCAATCCCACCATTGCGATTTACGTACACTGCTGGCTTCCTCCTATTTCATTGGTTTAGCGCCCCTCCTCGCTCCTGGGCCTCCATTGCGGCCCCGTCGTTGTCTGTCAATATACGTGCTCCTCTGTCTGCACGTTGGCACACGTGTCACACTTACGCCGGCGGACTTCTGCAAGTCCCCCGACGTCGCCTGTTCCCCGCTTGTATTTAGCTCTGTCCAGCGGTCCTGTAACCGGACGTGCGGGGGTAAGGGTGACCCCACCGCGCCTTGCCCAAAATCGCAAAAAGCAGACAGTTGTCCTCCGGTAATTGGATCTACTATCTTTTAATCAAGCCGCGCTTTGGGGGAGGTGGTGATTCAGAGATGAACCCCACCGCGCCTGTATGTAAAAATTATCAGCTGACGGTGACTGTTACTGTCCGCCAAGTGCATCCGAATCGTTGAAAAAGGTGCATTAAATATGGACAGAATTTAATTGACCTCATCTGTCAACCTACAGTGCATCTCTCAAACAACTCTACTGATAATGCAATAACTCGTAATTATCAGCAAAGGGATCGCAAATAAGAGAATAAAACGGGAGGATGAGACGCGCGGGAGTAGTAGTATAAATAGTCAGAAGCCCGGGCAGAATAGCTGCTTCGGGTAAGCAAAAAAAGGACGAAACCAGCACAGTAAATTGACGCGAACATTCTCGCCCGGTCCTGCCGGATAACACTTACTGTTTTTTCTACTTTTGCGACAGTCTAGACTTTACGCTCAACTAGTTTCTTCGAGAAGAACAACAACCTCAGTCTTTCAAGTTCAAGATTTTTTGGTCTTTTCGAGAGTGGTCTTCTTATCTCTTTCTTGATATTAACGCAGTACGTTTTATCAAAAAGAGGTAAAGCCGCCTTCCTCTTTAGGATAACTCTCATCGGAAATAATAAAAAGAGTAAGTTCTTTATTTTTCCGCTACCTCTAAAATAGGAACGTAGTTGCCTAACTAATTTCTATTTTGGTGGTATTCAAACCAAAATTCAGACAAGGACCTTGGGGCACCGCAAGCCCCCGAAGAGCAGTCAGAAGAAAGCTCTCAGCCGGGCGCACGGAGTCGACCCTGCACGCCCGTGGTAAACTGGGACAGCGACGGGGAAGACTCCATCACCGTTTTGGACCTCGTCGAAGAAGAGGTTACCCCGGCGGACCAACCCCGCCCGGAAGACAAGATTTACGAGAAGAAAACACGTGTACAGAATGTACACGCAAATAGTTCTGGACACGTGGACAGCGCGTCACAGGTTCTTCGAAAAATTAAGGCCTGTACTACAGTACTGAAAAGTAATTTGTCGGTTCTACCGGAAGTCGTGAATAGGACACTACATCGCGTGGCCACCTCACGAATCGGTCAAAAGCCTGCTCCTGCACCCCTGCTCACGTGCCAGGTGTGCCAAGTCACGTTGACTGGCAGGCACCAACTCCGCCAACACAAGGGTGGGAAGAAACACCGCGCACGCGAGGCTGGACATCAGCGCGAGGCCGAGGACTTCTACTGTGACATTTGTGCGCGTTTCTTTCCCTCCGCGCACGACCTCGACAACCACCTCATCGGCCCTATTCACCGCCGCCGAGCCCAATTCTAGCGTGAGCGCCATCTCACTCGCCAAATTTAGAAAAGCAAAAACTGTTTTGAATCATTTTCCAATTTATCATTGTCTAATTCAAAACATTTTTTTTGAGACATTTCAGAAGCTATTTTGCCACAATCAAGAGACCAACTTCAATTGTTTCCATCTTTGCCAAATTAGTACACAACACGTATTACACGGTTGACACAAACCCAAAAATCGGATACGTGTCACACATTGCACTAGGTGTGAAAATTGCACACGTGTTTACTACTGTACTAGCTGTGAGCGTTGCACACCTGTACCCGTATTCAGCTTGAATTAGTGTGAGCCATAAAAAAAGTCAAAATTTCAGTATAATTGTAAGGTTGCAGAAAGCTTATTTTTCCTAAGGCTAAAGTAACTTACTAAATTACTTTCTGGAGACTTTAACTCACCAAACACTATGGATAACGGAATTGACGAGGCAGCTACAGAGGCCATCACCAAGGAACTTGAAACGTATACACCACCATCTCCAGTTCACAATGATATTATATCAGTTATTACGCTACACATTACTCGCGCAAAATCTGAAAATATTTTGGACACAGAACTGGTAGAAAGATTACGTGACGACCTCCCTGTTGAAACTCTATATTCTTTCGAAGTACGGAAGGGCACCACGTTCGTTTTCAGAATCATCCGTGACTTCTTACGTGCAGAAGGTGTAGAGTATATCAGACATCCCGCAACTGACCGCATCTCATGGGGATTAGTAAAAATGTTATACTCAGACTTGGACGACATCGATTTTGCTTACGAAAGGCTTGTTCAACACAAGAAAAGTAGTCCAGCATGTATGCCTACTAACAAGGAAATTGAACGTCAAGCCGGCCCACCAGTACAAGGTTACCCACCTGTGAGACGTGACTCCGAAGCAAGAGCCGCTCACAACATGGCATTGCGATTCAAGAACCAGGATAAATTCACGGGAAAACTGGGTGAGGACCTCACGGAACACATCAATAACTACATTGATGCCGCCCAGGACTACAACCTTGACCAAACCAACAAACTTGCCTTTTTCCACAACATCTTCGATGGAGAAGCTAAGCGATTCTATCGAGAGAAGGTGAGGGACAGGTGTGGAAATTTTGGTCAGGCATGCCAAGTTATGCAAGACGAGTACAACAGCATAACTCGGCAGAACAGAATCAGGAAATACCTCCAGAGCCTGAGAATTCAATCTTTGATGCATGCCAAGAAGCTCAACACTGCAGAAGCTTTGGAAGAGTTACGTGAGATCATCACACGTTTTGCTCCTCAAGGACCACGGACTCACCGTTCCGAGGAAGACAAGGTGGAATACCTTTACAAGGCTGTCGTTGGTGCCCCGTGGGCCAAGTCAGCCCTTGCGAACTCGCAGTCCACATCTAATCCTTGGGACTTCCAACATCTGTATACAGCACTCCACGCCGCCTGGCTTCAAGACCAGGAAGAGCAAGAAGGTAGAAAGAAAGATCTGAACATCGGTCAATCTTCCCTACATAAAGAGATAAAATCTTCATCCAAATATACTCCTGATCTTTACTACGAAGGTCAGAAATATTACGGACGACCGGAGAAACCAGGATCACGCTCATCTGCCCCATTCAGGCCCCCTCAAGACAGCACAAAAGCCGGTCAAAATGGGTTAGACCGTTATGGCAACCCCAGGCTATGCAACAATTGTCAGGACCCTAATCATTTCATCAGGGACTGCCCCAAACCTCGCAACGTGATGCGAAATATTTCATCGCAAGTCAGGAGATATCCGAAGAGAAGCCATCAAATCCTCTTCGAACTGTGTCAACAAGTGGAAGATGCGTTGTTCTCTACGGACGAAGAAGACCCTTCTGCTACCCTTACAGGGGACAACTTCAAGCAGGAGGACTCTACCTCATCAGAGAATGAGACGCCTGAACATCCCGATAAAGGAGGACAGGTATTCCACGTTACTGGTTCTGAGAATCGGGGCATTCCATCAGTTCTTGATCTAGAGGATTTTTGAGGAGAGGCAGTCTACTTTACCGTCGTAGTTTGAAGTCGAAAGAAAATAAATCACGCTACGAGACTGTCCTCAAGAAAAAACGGTCCCGGTACAGAATCTCGCGTAGGTCAAGGACAGCCCATGACATATGAAGAAACCGGCGTCTCAGAAAATCCTCCAACGATGCAATGACCAATTCTGTGTTAAACTCTCGCCGAGGTCTTTCACAGATGAGAATCAATTTGGATGAACGCAGGAAAGACTGGCAGGGAGCTTTCATCGACACTGGAGCACAACGCGCTGTTATCGGACAACTGCAAGCCAAAGCATACTGCAGATTTGTTGGGAGTAAGTTCAAACTAAAAGCGAACTTCAACCAGTACAGATTCGGTGTTGATGTGCAGAAGTCATTCGGATCAATCTCAATTCGATTACCGTTTCTCAAGAACGGATTTGTGCCAATTGAGGTTGACGTAGTTAGAGCGAATGTACCTTTTCTTTTGGGATTAGATTTGCTCGATAAACTTCAACTATACCTGGATACGACAAGAAATGTACTAATCAGTTCTCCGGGAAACGTTTCTGTCCCAGTCGTAAGGAAGTTTGGACATGTCTACCTGGAATGGAAACGGGAAGATGCAGTACTATTCTCAAGAAGTGAACTGGTCAAACTTCATAGAGGTTTTCGACACCCAACGGATACGAAACTTCTGAATCTCATCAGAAAAGCTCGGCCGCACGAGGCCACCGAGGCCACCACAAAAGTCTTGAAAGAGATCTCTAAGTCATGCAATACCTGTCAAAGGCTTGGATCACAACCAACTAGCTTCAAGACCACGTTACCCACACTGCAAGACGTTAAGTTTGGTGAAGAAATATCAATGGATCTGATGTTCATTGAGGGAAAAGCAATTCTGCATATTGTCGACACTGCAACTCGTTTCAGCTCGGCCATATTTTTAGACTCTCAGGGTCAGAATTACGGACAATCAGTCAACGGAATATGGCTTGCTTTCCTTGAAGCGTGGTGCACTCTCTATACAGGATTCCCTAACCGCGTCAGAACTGATGCGGGATCCGTTTTCACTTCTCCTAGGTGGAAGGAAATGGCCGAAAGCGTTGGGATAGAACTTCGAATTTCAGGAGTCGAAGCTCACAACTCATTAGGCATTGGAGAAAGACTACACGCACCCCTCCGAAGAATTTATCGAAGGATAATATTCGACTTTCCTCAAACTGACCGCAACATTGCATTGAAACTGTCAATCAAAGCCATGAACGATACCAACGGAGATAACGGACTGGTTCCCTCACTAGTTGTATTCGGGATAATACCAAGATTCCCAATCATTAGCTCAGATATACCCGCTCAGAAAGAAAGGATGCTTGCACTTTCAAAGGCACAAATGAAAATGAATTCTGTAGTGGCAGAGAGACGCATTCTTGCTGCCCTTACTAGAAGAATCCCAACCGCAACCGATTTCGTATTTGAATTAGGTCAAGAAGTACTTGTGTATCAAGAAAGAAGTAAAGAATGGATTGGACCCGCTACCATCACAGGTATAAGAGACAAAATAGTTGATGTTAAGAGCAACGACGGGCAATGGCATAAGACTATGAACATGCAACAAGTTAAGCCTTATGTTCGAGAAGACTCTGAACCAACAGACACGCTCTCACGGGACGTGTTCCTTTCTATAATGTTGAAGC